CTCTTCATCATGTTTATCATATATGTCATTGATTTCAAGCCTATGAACCTCTCTCAGAAACTCCTTTTCCAATGAAGATTTCTTAAAATCAGCTTCCAATTTATTATATTTATCAGTTACAGATTCTATTCTCTTTTCTGCTTCTTTTTCTTTCTCCATCAACTCATTCAGTTCTCTCTCATATTTATGACATATATCATCCATTTCAAGCCTGTGAGCCTCTGTCACAAGCTTCTGTTCCATGCAAGATTTCTCAACTTCAGCTTCCAATGCAAGATACTTATCATTCAAAGCTGAGAGGGCCGACTGTTTGTCAGTAATGATGGTCTCCAGATTCTCCCGCACAAGAGAGCTATTCAACACGTTCTCTTCTAAGGCATGAATTTCTTGCATTCGCATCTCACGTTCCTCAGAAAGAAGCGTCTCCAACTTCTTGATAAGGGCTTTCATTTCCGTCATGTCAGACCCATACTTTTCTGTCATAGCAACCTCCTCAGTAACCATCTTCTCATTCTCAGATTTGCATTCTTCTAGCTCCAGTTCAGCAGATGACAATTCACTCTGAAGCATTAATATCATCTGCTGCTTCTGGTTTAGTCTGCTGTCAAGATCAGAATTTGTATTGCTCAAATTTGACAGCTCCTCTTTCAGCTTCTTGACTTGTTCTTCCAGTTCCTTCTTCTTCTCATCCTCTTCAGCCCTCACACCCACCATATCATCCACAAGCTTCTTACAGAGGGAATCCAACTCTTTGATATCCATTTCATATCTACATCTTGACTTCTCCTCATTATCTTTAACCTGATTAATTTTCAACAACAAATTCTGCTTTTCTTGTTCAGCACTTGCTAGTAAAGTCCTAGTCTTGCAAACTGTATCCTCCAACACTGAACACTTTTCCTGGACCTCAAGCAGATCAGAAGAAGTCTTTTCCAATTCTTTTCTCAGATCAGCCAATTCACCCATTTTATGTACCTCACCTGACTCATCTTTTTCTGCCTGCAACTGACTTAATGTATTTTCAAGATTTCTAATGCGTTCATAGAGCTCGTCAATGTGAACTTCATTATCGTGGATTGTTGCGTCTTTGTTGTCACGGTCTACAAGCAAAGCTTCGTATAAATCTGCATTTACTTCCTTCATTGGACCTCCGTTCTTCAGCGGCATTTCAAACTTCAGCTTCATTTTAGTCTGAGGAGCTGAACTCACTTGTTTTACTATTCTTCTAGGCAGCTGTGGCTACAAAAGAAATTATTCATTAGTAAAATTATAAACTTACATAAAAAGATATTATAGAAAGACCATACAAAGCCTGCACTAGATTTGGCATGGTCAATTAAAGATTTGTAGTGGCCTGGTGCTGCAGTAGCCATTTCAAAAACAATGACTGTTGTGGATGGACTGTTCTAATTACGTCTCAATCCTTACTACGAATAACTCTGTTCTCTTTAAGTTACATCTTGGTACCATGAGGAACTAGAGCATGGAAGTATTGGAGGAGCTGATTTTTTTTTTAATGTATGTGTAGGAATCTGAAGACGGAGATAGAGTCCCATCTCCGAAACGTCGTTTTACGTTTTATATTTACTAGACGATGGATAATATCCAAGTAAATTTTTATTCAATTGACTCTTCACCATCGTCAAGAAGTTTTAGATTTGATATGTTTATTTACATTCAGCACACGCCTCTCTTCACTGCTCACTGAAGCTCACAAGACATCTGGTGACTACTGTGCATATCTACCTTGAAAATAGCAACTGCAGTGTTTGCCAGAACATTGGCTAACACCAAACCACAAAAACCTACAGACAAGTATCAATAGGAAATCAACTCGACTTCAGTGCAACTGTAGCACATACATCAGAACTGCTCTCCACTGGTTCAATCACAACTCAACTTTGACATAACCTACTCTTCAGTTGAGCAACTGAGAGTGCTTGTCACTTGGTGACTTCAGTTGATGGTTGCTTTTTTAGATGTGGACATTTTATCCTCTTATGTATAAAGACAACATACATTTTAATTTACTGATAAATTCAGCAAATGCTAGTTGATGCAATGCAAACTATCAGGAAACTTCAATTCAGCTGTGACGTATATTTCAGTTCAGTTGCCATTGATAGTTTCTCCAGTACGAATACACTGCATGAAAATATTCCCAGCGGTAAACATGCTAGCCATTTAGCCAAAGTTTTAGAGAGGCACATCATGCATACTACTATTAAACTTTAAAATGGCAACTTTAAACAAAGCTAAAAAGATATTTTTGTTAAAGTCTGGGGAGAAAAAGGAAAAATAATGCCCTGTAATCCAACATGTATAAATTATTTAAAAAATTATTATTGTAAACATTGTTTGTCCACTCTGCACGTTTACTGTGTAACATGGATTCAGACTAGTCTATACCTTCAACAACACATAGAATAACTTCACACCACCTAACGGCATTGCAAAGACAAGGTGTACGAACTGTAATACATATATGATCACATGCTAAACAAAACTTTTGATGTTAGAGACTTCTCCACCCAACATCAGCAGATCTGTGGCACAATCTCTCTTGAGATAAGATTTTTCAAAGGAGCCTTGGTTGCATGTTAGTTTATATTTTGTTTTAAAACTTCTCGCAGCATGCTTTGCAATCATCAAAACCAAAATTATTGAAGAAAATGTTTATTCTTCATGCAGTAATTTTTTTCATTCCAGGCAAGAGTGCTTTGTTAGGTGCTCATTAATGTTTAAAACTTATATACAGTACCGCAATGTATTTACTCCTACAACAGCAACTGTGGCCCTGAAAAATACTTTTAATTTTAATCACAATATTTTGGCTCGAATTCAAGAAATTAACAAACATTTGGCCAAGTTTACATCAGTGCACACAAATATTGACTTATATCCAAGACTGTAAAATTAGAAGCTCTTGAATATATATCAGAACACAGACATACTAGCTAGTCATTCACAACATTAACTTTTCCATTAACACTTTAACTGCTTGACAAATTCTGATGGCCAAAAACTGGGAGGCTTCCTGAAAATAATTGGGATCACAAAATTCTTGGACTATCGTCTGTGTTTCTAAAAAGAACACTGCGTTTTGGAAGCTGAATCTGCTTCCATCCTCAGGTTAAGAAAGGGGGTGAGGTCATAGAGTAAGTTAGGATGAAGCCAGGGTTTTGGAAATTAAAGGTAACAATGGGTTTAGAAAATACAAGGAATTGGCCCACTTGGAGTGTTTAAACAATCCCATCAGTCAACCCAGTTTGGAAACTTCTCTAATATGGATTTCTCTTATCACAAATAAGGTTAAGGTTTCAATTGTTGAAAAAATAAATAAATTCTGCTACTATCGTGTATCATAAAATGTAATCTTCAGATGTGACACGAACCGTCTTCAAAAGCAAAAATTTACACTCTTCCTCCCCACCCTCACACACAACTTCAGGTTTCATAGCAGTAGGTAATCTCTTGATCATTTGAATATTATCTCTACCATGTAGTTACAGTAGTTCCCTTCTCTAACACAACCAAGGCAAAGTAAGAGAAACATGTCTTCAAAAGTTGAAGGATTCACCACATCAAAAACTTTGGCAGAAGTTAACAGCCACTCTTAATAACACACTACAGTATATTCAAATCCAACGCTGCATTTGACGATGTTGTAGAAAATAATAAATATCAAGCAAAGATCTTACATTGTAAAAGATGAAACACGTAAACATTCTACGCCAAAAGAAATTCTACCAATTAAGGTAAATAATATTATCATGAATAGTCCTAAATTTGTAGCAAACTCATTCAGTACTTATTTTCTAACAATTGTAGAAAACTGAATACAAAGAGCCCAATGGAGGAAGAGGATATACACGATCAAAACAATTCCTAGAACCTTCCCAGATATAAATCTTTTGCCTACAATGGTAAATTAAATAAAAAATATAATTCATTCTCTTAAGTAAAAAAAACTCATGAGGTAATGATGAAATATCAACAAAATTTCCCAAAACTTATTCAGACTAGTGTTACTTTAAGTTGTCTGGTTCATTTCACCAAACCAATTTCAAAATGAATGATTTTCCACGAGACAGTAGTCCCAATGAAGATAAGAATTCCTGTCAAATTCTACTGCTTTGTGGCCACATGCAGATACAGATTTAATTGGAACTTAGACAATTTATCACCAATGAGTAATTTCAAATAGAGAAAGTAAAATCAGCCTAGGGCATATTGGTTCATATAAGGAATAAACCCCTTTAGCAGACAATCATGTGAATGAGTAAGCAATGTTAAAAATTTGTTTCAACAGTTACTCAGTTTGTACTAGCAGGTGTCAGAGGTCAGAGCAACATATTTCATTTGAATATGTAAAAGAAAATGTCTGAAATGTTTTCGGCTGATCAAAACACATCAGTAGCAAAATGTTCAAAGCCCAGCATATGGGTTGCTTGTAAGATAGACGTTAATGGGAATTAGAATTCACATCAAAGAGATAAGATCTCTAATCTCGTACACAGATTTCTACCTGAATTTCAAGGTTTGACACCAGCCATTAATCTAACAGTTTTCTTCTATAAAACTTAAATCTTTCTGCTGTTAGAAGGATTACAACCAAAAAATATTCCATACTTCATTATGAAGTGAAAATACTATAAATATTTATGTTCTAAGTATTCATAATCATATTCATAGCATGTTCCACATCCTTGGCTTGTACTAGGAAGAATCTATGGAAAATAAATAAATTCTAATTTATTATATTTAAAGCATTTCACTTTCACAAACTAGGCCTGTAGCATAAATTTACCTGCAGTAAGTTTCAACTTTTAGGTTCATAATAACAACAACAGCAACAGAAGACACTTTTAATAACAGACGTGTGTAGTTAACACTTACAGTGCGAAACACAGGTAAGCAGTTGCCATTTGCTGACTTGCCACTACTGCTGGTCAAAGACATGTTTGCAGGGCTCTCAGCCGAGCTGGTGCTCACCGAGGGGTATTTCGGTTCTACAAATCTCTCACTCTTTTCAATGACTGCCCCCTTTACCTTGGCCTCAAACTTCGGATCATACCTTCCTGGTGGAGGTGCACAACCTGCAAGTAGAATGAATAGAACAGAATTTATTTACATTCCATAGACCCTTCATAGACTTAAGCCAAGTATGTAGAATAAAATATAATAAATCAATACAATATACTAAATACATAGTTTTGATAGATATATCTGATATAAAACAATATTATATTAAAGTAATTACATCAAGGAATCATCACCAATATTATGTGTACTTATAATAACTGAGAATTACTGTTTAATTCTGACTTGCGTCGTTTCTTAAACAATAGATCCATACCTCTTCAGTGGTGACACTTTAAAATATATGAAAGTACATTAAGCATGCAGTGAAATTCTAAAGGGCAGAAACATAGACTTTGAAATTTTAACCCAGCTAATTAAGGGCACATACAGTGACAACATTAAATCTGTTTTATTATAATTCTATGTAATTTATATATTTTTCTCTCAACTCTGCAGTTAATTTGTTCTTAAATTCATCTGACATTCTGCCTTTCAGAAACAGAACCAAATTAAAAAATTAAATTCCTTCATTAACAAAAACATAACTCACTTGTTGCATCATTAAATCGTTGAATTTTAGCACGAGGGAACGACATTATTGCTTACTTCACTACCGTCTTTCACTAATATCTTCAGTAGACAACACACTAGCGTAAACTAATTCAATAACCGTCAGCTTCAGTTAGGGGGGGTTTAAATTTAAAAATACTAGCAAAAGACTTTGACCAATAACACTTTCGTTGCGCTCCTACAACCAATAAAAAGTTACATCAATTTGAGAGTTCACGATTGGATAAGATCCTACTAGTTGCCAATATGGTAGCAATCAGGTGTTACTGTGTGAGTTACACGTAAACAGTTAAATTGTTTTCGGAAAATGAAGTTTGTACTGTGGTGCTGTGTTATATTAACAGCTCTTTGTATCATAGAAACTATAAACGGCCAGCAACGAAAGAAAGATGTAAGAATAATGTTATATCACTTTCAATTTTTTCCGTAACTGAAACCATAACCACACAATATTTATTTCAGATAATTAACAAATCTAATTTACAGAGGAATGCCAATGCACAAAAAAAGAGTAACTGTGTTATATTGAATATTAAACAAGTATTTTGTGGATTCACACACACTTTTATTGTGTTTGAGCATGGTTATTATAATCTGCTTCCTTTAATTAGGGACTTACACTTAGTGAGA